TTTGGTAATGGATATATTGGTTAATAAGGTTATAAAAGCGACCGTATCAAGTCGTGAACTCCGAGCCCGAGCTTGTGTAGGGCAAACTTCTACTTATTTCTATTCCGTTGAACTTCCTTTTCATTTGTAACTGAATTTTGTAGATATGCTCTGTTATCACCCGTTGTTAGGATTGATTGTAAGGCCGGATGCCTATTATGTAAATTGCATGATATGACCTTGTGCATGCTGCTAGTTGAGTTTATAAATGTGTTTTTTACAGGTTGAAATTTTTGGAAATGTCCATTTTTCAGGAGAGACTGCCGAAATTTCGACAGAAAGTCTCGTCTCTTTTAGTAAGTGGGCCCAACATTAGTATGATATCGGATAATCTACATGTGACAAGACCCGCCCCAAATTTCTTGAAACCTAGGACGAATCCTATGGTATTTCCAACATCATGCTGATGCCGAGCCCACTTACTAAAGAAACAAGACTTTCTATCGAAATTTCGGCAGTCTCTCTTGAAAAATGAACATTCCCAAAAAATTTAAACATGTCAAAAACGTTTTTAAATCTCAACCGGCAGCATGCACAGGATAATAACATGCAATTAACATCAATGGCCTCCGGCCTCATAACCAAATATTTTCTAAAACGTTCTAGCTTTTGAATTCATAACACTTAACGAAACAGTAATCAGACAAGACCTTTATTTTTTCAAAATTCATTTCCCCACATAGAACAATACAAGCATAGTTCAAACAATTTATTTTGCGGCTACACTTAGGTTAAACCCCAGGTTACCTACGTACTCCTTTGTGAAGGATCAAGCCACACGTAGTTCTTAAATCAACACTCAAATAATATACGATTATTTAAAGTAAAGCCAACGATGAAATTTAGATACAAATATCAACATCAAGTTCGACAAAGCATCCACTGAACACTTTACAAGTTATTTTCCTTTTATCAGTTCATTCTCACAACCATACCCTATCCAAGGTGTATGTTGCTAAACAATACTTTCCAAACTATAAATCAGACGTTCATACCTGTGCATAGTACTCACAAAGCACCCGTTCAAGAATCACGACCCGAAAACGTATCCACACACACACACACACATATATATATATACACACATCAATACACACACCTCACACCATCATCATGTACTAGGTAAAGAACAATCCAATCCGAAGATCGTTTGACTAGGCCACATGGAGGAATTCTTAACAACCATGTGGCCAGGGACGAGCAGTTCATCCGGGGGACCGGGCTAACTAGCATGCACATCAGAATCCTCAATACTCGTGCACCTGTGACAAGTCCTACGCACGCAGACTAACTAGCTATCCACTTTCATGTATCCAAGTATCCGTGTCCACTATTTCCAAGTATTAGTATTCAAGGGGAGATACATATGATAGTACATATCATGTACCAAGGAAAAACAATCCAACACAAGAATCGTTTGGCTGAACCACATGTAGGAATCCTCAACAACCATGTGATCAGGGATGAGCCGTCCAACCGAGGGACTGGGCTCATAGCATGCACAGCAGAATTCTCAATACTCGTGTGCCTATGACAAGTCCTACGCGTGCAAACTAACTCGTTAAGGGTCTATGGTAACACCCTGTCAAGGGTGCTCGGGTTTCGACATACCCAAACCATATCCACAGTTTTTCAAGTATCCATCCATTCCAGATTCAGTAACCAAGGAAGCCAATACGCCGGAAAATCCAATGCCACGTGTGGGTATCGTGACTAGGGAAGGTACATATGATGGTGAGGTTTATAACCCTTATATAAATATTATAAAAACAATATTCCCTTCCTTAATTCAATTTTCCCCAAATATTTATTCATAGTATAGAAAATAAACTCTCAAGCATATATTCCATAAAGACCCAAAAATGATTCAAATAGTAATAAAAATTTATTTACACTTAATTTTCATAAAATATTGCATTCCACCATTAAAACAATAGATTTTCATAGATAACCCGATATAACCCAATCCATATACTTTAATAATAATAATAATAATAATAATAACATTAATTAAGGATAAATAATAACCTTTAGAGATCCCATATCCTTATTAACCCATATTGAATCAATTTTCAATCAAAACTCATTATGCAAGAAATTCCATATTAAAAAAATGAAGTACACTTAAAAACAAACGTTCACTTATTTACTAATAATTAGAGCCAAGACTCAAGACTCACTTTCACAACCCATCGATCAAGTATCCCATGCTCATCCATTCCACAACTTTAATTATCAAACTAATATCCAAGAATTTCATACGATACTATAAAACAATCTCATAATCCCAACACATTCAACACAACTCAAATAACAGTCAAGACTCGTTAATAAGATATTTCTAGTACTCCTTGAAGGGTGAAACTGCCTCGGAAGACGCACGGTCAACCTAGGGGTCAAACTGCCCAAACTTGGTCAAACGAGCCCTCGGGGCGCACGACTTCCGATTTTAGATCCAAAAGTTCCTACAGGTTCAACAGGGTTTATTATACATGTCCTGCAAGTTTGGTCCGAATCGAACAGTCGGATTGCTCGCGATCGGACGATTGTCGTTTAACCTAATCTTTGAATTATTGAACCGAAACATCCAAGACTCCGATTCATGATCCGTGAATTCCTACACGATCCTAGAGGTTCTTAGATCAACATATACGAAAATGAAGTCAATCCAACTGTCCGAGCTTATCGAAGCCGAATAACGCCTAATATACGTAATTCGATCAACAGTCAAATAGTAACCAAATTGAAATCCGAGCATACTGTAGTGCTCGGGATGACATGAGGATCATTTGAGTACCCAATGGCCTAGAGTAAACTCCTGCGATCGAAAAATCTCCAAACCGCCTGTTAAGACCTATACCTACATGATCAGGACAATGAGTAGAGCAACTTTTGTTCTTGGACCATGGCAAAAAAGTGACAAGAACTTGCCGGAAACACGAGTTGAAAACCAGCCAAACTTTAAGCAATAAATCGAATTTCAAAACCCAAATTTAAGCAATAAATCGAATTCCAAAACCCAAAAATCAATCTTAATCAACCTAACCATCAGCTAGAACACATTGAGAGGATGAAAAAATATACATAGATCGAAGAAATTGGTGGTCAGAATTGCCGGAACGAGTGATGAAAATTTTACGTAAAAATCGGCATTTTTTTTGCAATTTCCGACGACTGGAAGTGGCGGTTCTGTCGGAGGTGGGGTGGGGTAGGAAGGGGAAGTGGTGGTGGTCGTTTTGGTACTAGCCCCGCCGAATTTGGTGGCCAAATGCGACAATGGCCGGCCAAAGAATAGCCAGCTAAAGCTACGGTTGTGAGAGGGGGGCTCGAGAGAAAGAGAGAGAGAGAGAGAGAGAGAGAGAAGAAATAAAAATCTGATTTTAAAACTGAATTTTGAAATATTTACAATTATACCATTAGGCTTCTGTTGATCGTAATTTCTTCATTACAACTCCGATTTGAGCCCAGCACATGTCTACGAACTCATATCGACGTGATCTATGCAATAGTACCATTCATTTTCCAAAATACTTACAAATTAAAAAGTGACCAAAATAACCCTATTCGCGAGGGCAAAATTGTAATTTCATAATTAAATAAATTAATAAATTTTAAATGGACAATTAAAATAGGGTAGGGGTGTCACAATAGGATTCATCGTAGATTCCGATGAATTCAGGGTGGGTCCTGTCATTATAAATTAGAAGAAAGAAAATATCTAGAATGATTTTTTGAAATAAAAACTAAAAGTTTTTTAATTATACCGGACGAAGACCCTATAAGTTTCTTACTTTAAACTTGATACACTTTTGGAAAGGGCAGCAAACTCCTTTGAACCGAACAACTTTTTATTTTATTTTATATACAAGTGATATCAGGGAAAGATGAACCAAACAATCTATTTGTTCATGAAAATGAAAGCTGTTGTAAAAATTGATAGCAAATTTGCCTAAATTTGCCTACTTTCTTTTTAATTTTCTCTAGTTTTTTTTTAAAAAAATTAAATGGGTTGACTTGCTTTTGCAAACCTGTTGACTTTTACTCTTTATGAATGTTTTTACCTATTTTTAAGATTATAATAACTCATTTATTTAGCACATCGAGGGAAATGAAATTTAAGCAAAAATGTCAAATTGCTAATCAAATACAATTTTATGTTTTTATATCAGGAGACGCTAGTTGGATATTGCCAATATTTATTTAAATAGAAAAGAATTATGTTTGTTAATCCAACGACTCAAACACCAATACAATACAAGATTATGCTACTTGTTTTTTCTCTTCTATTATTAATACAATGAGGATAATATGGTAAATTCACATCTTTTTATATATAAAAAAAATTAAAATTAAAAAAAATCAGATAATGAAACTTATTTTTATGAAATAAAATAACCCATCATCTTTTTTGAATCCTAAAATACATTTAGATTAAATTATAGAATTTAAAACCAATATATATATATATATATCTCGCAAGCGCGGAAGCACATATATATAGAGGCTAGTATTTTAAGGGGAAAAAAAAACAGAAACCTCCAGAACCAGGTTGGACCTATAAATCCAATCCTAGACATGTATTTATAAAAAACCCAAACACTATTTAAACATAGAAACACATCCAAAATCAACCCCAAAGTAAACTTTTTGGGTGTGTTTATAAATGGGTTTTGAGTGTGTGTAATGATGGGTTTTGGGTGTGTTTATAAAGTGTTTTGGGTGTTGGGTTTTTTTATAATTTCAACCTCTATTTTGGGTGTTTTAGTAAAACTCCCTTTTAATTATCTCCAAACTGGCAAAAACCGGACCAACTCTAGTATTTCAATTATATTATTTTTAAAAATATTAATATACGTGTCAGCAGATAATTCGTCAATTTTATGCCATTTCTAGTCCTTGCCACACTCGATCCGACGAAACCCTTTACATTTGAGGGGCTTCCATTTTTTTTCGTCATTCGGCCTCTGCCTCTCTCGCTCAGTCTCTCTCACTCTCAACCTCCTCTCCCCAAATCCGCCGCCAACTTGTTCCAGATTTCTCTATCGCTCTCTCTCAGCCGCTCTCTAGCTCTCCCATATTTGCAAAACCTGGTTGTATTACATTCTGTTTAAGTATGCTCTTCATCAATTCATGGGTCTTTCTTGATTTTTAGATTTCTGCATATTTGTCTTTTGGTTTTGATGTGTTATGCTCTTTCCCAACCTGTTTCTTTTGCTCTGAGCTCTCTCTCTCTCTCCCTCTATCTCTCGTTGTTCTAGCTCTGAAATACAGCCCTAGGTAAGAAGTAAAAACCATCTCAGCAACCCTTGTTCTTTTATTCCTATTTTTGTTGTATTCTTTAGAACTAATAAGCTTATATAATCCTTTTTGGTATTCTCTATGGAGAACCAACAAGTCTCAAAGCTAGTTTGTGTTCCAATTCTGTGCTCACTACACATTGGTTTATCTTTTGGGATTTTTTCCCCCACTTTTGTTCTGTTTAATTCAAGCCACTTAAGCTCATCTTGTATTCTTCGAGTGTTAGGCTAACTTGGTGTAGTTGTGGGACCGTAGGAGCATAATCGTAGAGCATTCTCTATTTTTTATCCTTACAAATTTTTTTGTCATAATCTTTGAATTTAATTAATTGCAAGCAGGGCCATGAATTGTTATAATCACAACTTGTTTTCTTTCTGTTTGTAATTTCTTTTTATGTAACAATTTCAATGACCGAGTGTAATTCCTTTCTGTTTCTAATTTGTTTTGTAGAAAATAGTGCTGTATAATCGAAGGGCCCTATGAGGTTGGAGAAATGCTGGTTCTGTTCCTCCACCGTGTATCCTGGACATGGGATTCAGTTCGTTCGTAATGATGCAAAGGTAGGAACTACTCTGTCCATGTAATTTCCATGCACTTGTGATTTATCATCTAAATGTTATTCTAAGTAACATATATTACCTGCAGATGTATGGTCCTGTTTATCAAATTTAAATGTTAATTTGACAATATAGTTTTCAGAGTCTTAAAATGTTAGTATTCATTGCATTCCTGAATCTATAGTCAACTGTTATCTAATGTGCTGTTCGGTGGTTGGGTTGATATAGGGAAGTATTAGGGAGCTTAGAGTAGTTTGCATGGTTACATAGGGATGCAATTTTATATGAAGCTCCACAAATGAGATTGACACTGAGGATGAATTAATTTCTTTGGCAGTCATGTTGTGTGGTCGTTTCTTTACTCCTTGTGGTTTGAATGTGTCCTGAATGATGGCTTTTAATTATGTTCATATGTATGGGATTTTCTAGTTCACCAATGTCAAAAGAAATTATCTAACACTTCATTTCAATACTGATTGTGAAATTGCATTGCCGTGTCAGAAGAAGAAGTGCCATTTAGGACTAAGCCTGCCTTTACATTATGTCTGTTTAAGGAAACATCGTGTGCAGCTCAATTCCCTGACAACCATTTCTTTTCTAGATTTTTCGATTTTGTAGATCCAAATGCCACAAGAACTTTAAAATGAAGAGGAATCCTCGCAAGGTAAAATGGACTAAGGCCTATAGGCGGTTGCGTGGGAAGGATATGACACAGGTGAACAAACATACTTTTTCTTAATCTAATCGGGCTCATATTACTATTTAATGTTGGATCTTTGGAAGGCTTAGGGTATATTCTGTTAGCCTTATTTTGTGTTCTTTTTGCAGGACTCGACCTTTGAGTTTGAGAGAAAGCGAAATAGGCCTGAGAGATATGACAGGAATCTTACAGCAAACACTCTGAAGGCCATTAAGAAGATCGATAAAGTTAGAGTCGATAGGGAGGCCAGACACCATGAGAAAAGGTACTTTCCTCTGCTACAGGAAAAACAGTAATAGGTGTTTTTGGTTTTCATATATTAAGATATTTGTTGAAAAACTTGAGCAGGATGAAGGGCAAGAAGGCCAAGGAGCACAGGGAGGCAGCAAAAGAGTTGGAACAGAGCATCAGCTTGGTCAAAGCTCCAAGTGTGCTACAACAAGATCCATCGTTCAACTTGCCGATCAAGGTCAAGGTTTCTCAACAGCAGCCCGACAAAAGCCTCGCCATGATGGAGGAGTAATTTTATTGTTGGATGTTCGTTTCCTATGTTTCATTATTTTAGTGTGCTTCAGATTGTTGTATTCGAGCTTTTTTCCCAAAGTTTCATTAACTGTAATTTTGACTTATATTGGAGACATCATGAACTTTATAGATTTATGTTTAACAAGTGATTGTGGAAATATAAAATTTATCATGGCAAGTGTGATTCACATACATATCTTAATCATCTTCATTTTAAATTTTAAATTTGTGCGCTGGATAAATATCTTGCCATCAAAAATACATTGACAAAATAAAAATCCATGTAGGGGTTAGTTTAAATAATGAAAGGAAAATACGAGGCTCATCACATTTTTATGTCACGTTGTGTATTACGTCTCTAAATAGAGGTGGAGTGGAGCCCTAGTTGCAGCGGTATATAAAATATCATTCTGGATATTACAAAGTAACCATAGTGTATATAATTTCCCAAAAGCTATTTGTTCTTTCTATTGTTATCCTTTTCTTCTTCTCGGTTGCATTGTAATATCGAGGGTCGTGGCAGCTATTTATTCAATGGAATTTGTAAAAGGTGTTTCGTTTCCATCATGAGACATTGTTGCGTTACTCATTTGCATCCGTTGGACAGGTACTGGAACTGGTCCTTGGGCGTGAACAAGGTGTACCGGTGGATATCATACATGTTCTGGATGCTTGCCTTGAGATTCCACAGTTGGGAGTATACTCGACAGCAGAGATCCCATACGTGTTCTGTTTGGTTATACACAAGGAAAACCTGTTCAACCCAAGACTTGAGCAGCTTTTAACAGTCAATTTTGCAACACAGAATTCAGAGGCAGTTGTCTCATTGTCAACTAAAAAATGTTGTTCATGGGAAGAAAATAAGTAATTCAAAGACTGGATGTGAAGGGGGGACAAATTAGCATGGAAAATGGTCAAGACCCGCTTATATTTTGAGTGGTTAAAGAATGAGAGGAATGTGGTGTGTTAAAACGCATGAATCTGTAGCTCTTCGGCTGCTCACTCGTTGTACCAAATTTTTCTGCCATGGAAGATTCCATGAGATGTTCTTTACACCCTTAAGTAACCCTGAAAAATCACTACTTATCTCCTCTAAATTGTTGTACGATGTTCGGAACTTGGGATTCTGTCGCAGCTTCTTGTTGTAATTTTACTTTGTCATAATGAAAAAAAAAAACGATAATATTCTTGTTAAGGAAAGAGCGAGAGCCAAAAAGCCGATTCACTGGCTTGTTTACAAGAAAAATGGTTTTTGTAAAAAATAAAATTACATGGGTTGTTAACTTGAAGTTTCACTTTCGCTTTGTAGATGAGAACATCTTGGAAAATACTCCTCGTTGCTTTTGCACCTGAAAGGATTTGAGTTTAGATTGAATTTTCAAACTAAATAGCAAATGCGACACTTATAACAACATGAATAATGATCTGAAAACCAAATAAATATAATTAAAGATTTCAATTACCTTCAAGCTTTTGATAACAGCTTTTATTTTGTTGCTGGTAGTAGAGCCAGTACGCTTCTTTCTTGTCTCCCTGTCTTTCTTAGCTTGTGAACATGTAAAAAATCCAAACATCTCTGGGATTTTCCAGTTGCCAAAGCAGATTGGAGCTTTTGAAATCTTATTTGGCTTTCTTCTGACAGCAACAATCTAACTACAACAACTTTATCAGTCAATCTAACTTTTTAATAGTCATTGCTGATCATGGCCTTTCTCCAATTCGCATCTAAGCCCAAGTTCTTTTCATAAGCTAAGTGCATGTTTGGTAACCCTATTTTTGCTTTTATAATGTTTTTATTACAAAAATTATTAAAGGAGGTTAGAAGGGAAAGGGAGATAGAGAGCTTTAAATTAGAAGAAAGAAAATATCTAGAATGATTTTTTGAAATAAAAACTAATTTTTTTTTAATTATGCCGGACGAAGACCTCAAATTATGAGTTTCTTACTTTAAACTTGATATATTTTGGAAAGGGCAGCAAACTCCTTCGAACCAAACAACTTTTATTTATTTATTTTATATATACAAGTGATATTGGGAAAAGAGGAACAGAACAACTTATTTTTGCAGGTGAAAATGAAAGCTGGTGTAAATATTGATAGCAAATTTGCCTACTTTATTTTAAATTTTCTCTAGTTTTTTTTATAATTAAATGGGCTCCTTCATTTTGCAAACCTGTTGACTTTTACTCTTTATTAATGTTTTTAACTATTTTTAAGATTATAATAACTCATTTATTTAGCACATCGGGGGAAATGAAATTTAAGCAAAAATGTCAAATTGCTAACCAAATACAATTTTGATGTTTTTCAGTTGACATCTCAGGAGACGGTAGTTCTAGTTGGATATTGCCAATATTTAAATAGAAAAGAAAGATGTTATCAGACGAATCCTAAAGTTCTGATCAATCGTTCAGCTATAGATGAGATTATGAAGTCAATTTTCTCTGTTTCTAAACCCTAAATTACATCCAAGAAACTTGTCTACAGTAAAAAAGTACTAGTTGTGACACACACACACACAAAAAAAGGATAAAGAAAAGGAAGGTACCTGGGCATGAGATTGTTGACTATTGGTATTGTTAGGCCTTGGATTTAAGGCTGTGGAAGCAGCTGGTGCTGATCTAGCAGATTGCCGAAGGTGTTGAGAGTACTGAAGGAGCTCAGCTCTCCTACTAATGTACCCTCTTCCATCAGCACCACGCCTGTAATGAACAACCTCTCTCCTAATGGTGCGATGAATATGATGATGGTTATTGTGATGGTGGTGACGGTGATGGTGACGGTGATTTGAGAACGTCCTCCTCTTCGGTTTCTCCACGTACACACTCACCAATACCCCTTTCTCCTTGCAGAATGTTCCCTGAAATTCAAGTGATCAATATTAGGTTAAGTGGTATTTCTCTTTTTCTTCGAAGAACATAAAATCTCTCATACCATTGAGTTTACTTCAGAAAAAAAAAAAAAAAAAAAAAAAAGGTGCCAAAGCGTATAAACTAGTACCATTTTGGTTGGCATGGGGAGAGAGAGAGAGAGAGAGAGAGAGATTTGTTGCTTGATGGTTAAGACGGATTTATAGCAATGTTGTGCGTGTGTAATATGTGGTATTGGTTCTGTTGGCATGGAACATGTGAGGCCAAATAGAGAGGGCCAAAATGATTTCTTATATTCCTTTGGTTGAAACGAAACCTGTTTCATTGTATATATTATCCAAAGGTCCAATACAAACCCGGCCATGATGAATTTTATAGAAATTAATTAAACCAAACCAATGTCGACAATAACATGCATATTTCGATAAATTATTGTGTGTAACAGAAAAGTCTCTTTTACATGCCATTGCCGTCCAAATTTACATGTACATATTGTTTGTACCTTAAACCAAGAGAGAGAGAGAGAGAGAGAGAGAGAGAGAGAGTTTTAGAGCATTACCTTGTTAGGCTTGGTTACTCTGCAAATTTTACATGTGATTAACAATCTGGCCCTAGGGCTTGTGAGATACAATCGAATGGAAGTGACAAGACAGGGAACTCTAGGACCCCATTGCCAATGTTCACTTTGGGTCCCTAAAATCTCAGAACCAGCCCTAATCATTGGTTGTACCTTCTATAATGGAGCCAACCAAGCTGCCTTCTTAAGGATTGGCAAGAGTTTCGTAAATGTTTGAGTAGCATACGTAGTATCATTATCATGGTGGCAGTTTATTAACTGCTGTTCGAAGCACTACAAAGAGCTTATTACAAGTAGAAAGCCGGATCATTGTGAAAATACAAGGCACAAATATGTACACAAAACCAGGCTATGGATTATCTACTTGTACTAACAATTTTTTATTTTTTTTTAAATGTTTACTTCGAGCAATATACAAATCCAAGAGCATTTGAGTTCTAGTAGTGGTAAAAAAATAAACCATACGTATGGATGGTACTTCCATTTTAATGTACGGCTCAAAATCAAAAGTCAAGTAATGTTAAAATAAGCAAATCCCTAAAACCCTGCCCGCAATGTTGGTTTTTTTTCCTTCTTTTTTTAATATACTAGCGATCTTGGGGAATCAAACTTAGAACATCCGTTATATGAGTAAATGCTCTTAACCACTTGAGCTACAAGCTCCTTGCTCCAACTATATGTTTGTATGAATAAAACGGTTGGGTCATTTTTTGGAGGGTTTTGCTACCATTGACATAAATATAAGTGAAACGGTTGGGTCATTGGGTAACTAAGAGAAATTAGTTTGTGGTTTTAAAGTTAGATTTTGCTGGGCCTTTTTTGCTTATAAATGGGTGAATTATGTTTCAAATAGCTTATTATTATAAAACTCAGCCAAATATGAATGGAATATTGTGTTGTGTAATTTGTTAATATCTTTTACCTTGTAGACATAGAACCTTTCTATTTAAACCAATTTCTCCCCATACTCCATCTCTTGTATGATTTGTTCGTATTTGTTACCTTGTAAAGTAGAGAAACCTATGTATTTAATCCCATAATTTTGTATAAATGGAAAGCATCTGCGGATTCAAAACCTTACACCAGAGAAAATGAAATAAAAAGATGTCAAAGCTTTCAATAATACAATAGGCTTATAAACCCTCGAATCTATCAAAATCCTAGATTTAAAATAAATAAATAAATAAAAATTCTATATGTATAGATATTTTGGGAGGATAGGAGAATGGAGGTGAACATTTTTCAAACTATATATAACTGAAGAAATGTCTCTTCAAGAAAGATAAAAAGCGTCCCTTCCTACTTTGAAAGTTTATAATTAGACACAATTGTTTCAATTTAAAATCTTATTGCATTTCATTTACTTCACAAGAATTCAATTATTTGGCTGGACCAAGAGTTGAATGTGTGAAATTATTGTATATTGTTGATTTAGACTTGAATTTACCAAATTTTTCGCAATTCTACTTTATTCTTAATTTAAATATCAGAGTCAAATTTCGTAATATTATGAAATTTAAGGATACCGATGAGAGCTTCAAAACAAACAATTCTTTTTGCACACATGCCAAACAATTAGTCTAGTGATTATTTTATTTCTAAAATTAGCAAACTTCTCAAGTTTGAATCACTTAATCATGATTGAAAAAAATAATAATAATAATTATCATGTGACTTTTTCAACTTGGTTCATTGAAGTCAATGCGACATTTTAGACACCCTTGTTGACTAGGCAGCCAAAGATAGGACCTTGGTTTGGGCCAAGATCTGATACGAATAGGGTTGAGTATCCTCGAATAGACCTTCTCTGTATACCTAGATGGTCTGCACAACTCTAAGAACAAGTTATCAAAAAGACACTAGTGTGGTACCAGCCAAACCTTTTTTGATGCCAAAACTGGAAGTAGAATGAACTAGTGTTTGAGAGAGTAAATGAATAGGATTTCTAGGGAAGTAAGAAGTTAATACCTTTATTTGAATTTAGGTGAAGAGTATTTATAGGAGATGAATGGGGAGTATATCCCTTTGAATCTAGCTTAAGGAAGATCTTCAGCCACTCTAAGGTGAGAGAGAGAGAATGTGGCTGTAGGCATAGTCTAAAATATTGATAATATCAACGAAATATTGAGGATATTATCATTTTTTTGAGTCATGGATATTTCAAAATGTATCCATATACATATCGTGTAAATATCGATAATATCAACGATAATATCGTAAAATAATTGATGTCAATAATTTCGCTCATACTTCAACAATATTTTGTCAAAATATCCCTATAATATCGCTAAAATATCGAAAATATCGATGTAATGGACAAAAGGAAGTTTAAAAAAAAAAAACACAAAGCACACATGCAAAGCGGATTCAAACCTCTGCCATTTCACTTCTCCAATGTCTTAACCACCATTTTGTTTATGTTTTTGTGATAATATGCTAAAATATGTATATTTATATTATTTTGTTTTGAACTGTTTTTGCAAGAATAGATTTTCACATAAGAATGTGAGTCTTTGACCTTTCTTTTTGGGATGGAATCGAGTGGCTCATGGAATAATCCAAGACTCAATCTTCAAATGATTTTGCTTATGGACAATGTCAACCAATCTGGGATCCATATGGGTGGCATGTTAACAATTATATGCAAAACTATTCTGGGGATTTATCATTTGATGACTACTATTCACAGATAGCTTAAGGGCATGAGAGCAAGCTATCGACAATGCAAGGGCATAAGTGTCAAGTAGCAAGTCTTACCCTGTATCTGGGGTGAGGAGCTATATTTATAGAGAATTTTGGGATTTTTTTGGTACTTAGTTTCGATGTGGGATTTGTGGGAGTGTCTTCCGAGGCTGACACGTGTCCCAACAAATATCCTAGCGATGAACCCGAGAACATCCTGCAAGATGCCTTCTAAGGCGTAGAATTGGCAAGGCATGCCGAACACACTCACCGGTCGTGGGCCGGTCAGTGAACAATTGGTGGATGGAGCTGGAAGCGTCTGCCGTTTGTAGGATTAGACATGCCAGCATGGGTTACATGGTCGTCTTGTGCGTAGAATCGATCGTGGGTGCCGAAGAGACCTATTGATTCGTACTACCGGGCTTGCCAGCACGAGCCATGGAGCCTTCCTTAGTGTCATACCCCTTCCATGTGTCATGGCATGAGATGCGGGTCAGGTATGGTACAAACAAACTTAAATTAATTAAACTCATCATGCAATGCATTTTCTTTCAATTTTTTGTAATAAACTAATAGATAATTGACTAAATAAACATTCTCCAAAGTTTCAATAAAAATTTTCAAGTTTTTTTTACAATTTTCGTAGTTTTTATTCAATTTTATTGATATCAATAATATTCCAATATTTTCATCGAAATTTCCGTGTTTTTGAAACTATCGATATTTTTGATACTATCAATATTTTATACCTTCACTATAGGCACTGGTTATCACACTAATTATCAGGGGACCAGTTGTTGGATTACACCTGGGCCAGATTAGAAGTGCATTAAATGTTTCCTTTAGTAATTCTTGGAAACCTGTGCGAGCTAGATTGCTTATAGAGGCGTTCTGTGGTGGATTTTCCAGTTGTCTTTGATTTGCTTATGCTTGATTCAATCGAGAAGAGTGAAGGAGTTATTGTCTAAGTACGCAGCTCGGGTGGCTTCGATCGTGAGTGGATACCACCGAGCCGACCAGATGTGATACCCATGGTCTAGAGATTTGATCGGATCAGTTGGTCTGCTTCTTAGACTATGACGGGTCAGGTCAGTCCATAGAGGTATCCAACTGCTTAGTCACGTGGCACCATACTATTGGCCCGGTGATATGAAATGTCAACAATACCCTCACACCAAAAACAAAATAGAATAAGTTTTTTTTTGAACTAATAATATTCTGGATAAACCATATTCTTGAAGTTTCCTCTAAAAAATAAACCATATTATCGACGCTATCAAGTTGACCGATTCGTCCATGTATAATTAAATAATTTTGTTCGCACAGAAAAATGAGGCCCACCTATTTTCAATCGACTACCTAATTAGTTAACAAATTATGAAATAAATAAATAACAAACCACACAATCATGTTTTAATTCTAAGATGCTGACAAGTATGTATGTTTTTGGGAAAATATATATTAGGAAGATGATATTATTGTACCAAATTATGAATCATTTATCTAATAGATATGAGACCTATTTGTATTGGTAGGTCATACTTTTATTAGAGAAGTGGTATATAATGCGATATAATAATGTAGTTTTTCTAACATTACTTTTATTTTTTATCAACATGTAGAACTGTTTCAAACTTGGAATTGCTTTCAACATTGGACTATGTGGGCAGGAATTCTAGGCTTGGCTTACAATTCTCTCATTCTCCGACCTCTTGGATTTGCTTGCTTGGATTACCTCATTGCTGGCTCATTTGGCTTCAGTTGAGCCACATTTAGTGCCAAATCACATCGCATCTTTGTCATGCCTCTGGCCTTCGGATCCACTATGACCTATTTTGCTCTTCTTTCAACAGTAGTCATGTTTGATCCAACCTTGGCTAAGGTTTGATTCGGCTTAGCTAAATTTGCATTCAGCATGTTGGTATGGGAAAGGGTCCTTGTTGATTGGACTCTTGTCACGTCTCAATTCAAAAATAAAGAATATTTCTGAATCAGGGTACGTAAATTGAATAAAATAAAATAAAAATACTAAAAAATTGGTTAAAATACATTTCTCTTATATAAAAATAATAATAGACTTACAGGTTGAAACAAAATGCATAAAATATGACAACTAGCACATCAAACTCACATCAGGAACAACAATTTGATCTGTATGTGTGTTCTCAATCAGCCAGGCATTTGAGAAGCTTTGGTTTCCAGTGCTTGTAATGAACTGTGTCTGCTCAGAATTCGAACTCGTCAGTCATCTCTCGAATGGGTTTGGTGTTGTGTGATAGTGTATTAGAGTGTATCAAGGGTATTTTTGATAGTTAAATAGGATGTACTTAATTAATTTTACATTTCAATTTAAATATTATGATGTACTTAGATCATAGGGTTTAGAATTCGTTTAACAACACTCTATTATTATTAACAGTTTTCTATCAAAGCAAACCCTTAAGGTCCTTAACTATTGGCTTGCAGCCATATATAATTACTGTGGTGACCTTCTCGAATCATCAATTTTTATTCATTTAAGTTGTTGATCAACTGTTGCAGGCAAGTTATTCTCCTGAACTCGAGTCCCATCAAGAGCGGGTCAAGGAGGTGAGTAATTGTCTCAATTCCACATGTAAACAAACAAAGGCTCACAAAACTCTCCAAAATATACGCATTTTTTTGCTTATTTTCCCTTTATAAGAAGAAGAAGAAAGCCATGTCTAATTCATCATCAGCAATACATAGAATAGAACCAACACAAGCAAACTCGAAATCAACAATGTCGACAAAGTCTAGCACTACCATCCTTGCCTTTGCCTTTTGTTTCTTGTCCCTCCTCAGTTTCGCTTACTCCAACAACACCGACGACAAAATCTACCTCTCCGGCCTGGTCTACTGTGACAACTGCCAATTGAAGTCTATGACCCAGATCAGTAAGATGATTCCAGGTACGTAACGTTAATAAGTAGGTAACAAACTACCTAATTGTCGATTATAAGATTTGAATATGAGATTTATGCATGCATGCATGTGCATTGCCCATTAATCAGGTGCAAAGGTGCGATTGGACTGTAGGGAGGGGGGGAACATAAAATTCAGCCGAGAGGGCGAAACCAACCCGCTTGGACTGTACTGGTTTGAGTTGGAAAAATCTAAGGAGCCTTTGGATGATTGTCAAGTGACATTGCTACACAGCCCTGACCCTGAATGCAAGATTTCCCACGAAGTCGACCCTAATAACAAATCGAAAACTGCGCCGGTGGCCACCCGGAAGATCAACCTATTGGAAGGAGACAGCGTTGTTTCCATCGGACCAAGCCAACGCGTTTCCTACCCTCTTGGTTTGGTCGTTGAGAAAGCTCGTCCTGAGTGCGAGCAGTTCGCCAAAGCACGCAAGCATTTTCAGAACTAATTTAAAGAATTGAAGACGAAAACCGTCTGATATTAAATCAGTTTCCAATTTCAGTGAATTTTTCTTTTTGATTGCAAAGATAGATAAATTGTGGTTTAAGAAATCAACAGTTACGATTATGATATATGCACGGTTATGATTCGTGAATTCACAACTAGTATAAACAAGGAAGTGTAATTAGAAGTGCACTCAAGTATTATATCCGTGAAGATATTGCCATTAATCTAGTCTTTTTATTTTTTACTTTATTAATTCTTAATTAAGATTCAATTTAGGACCTATTTAAAGAGAAGAAAAATACGATTTAAAATCTATCTTATAACCTAATAATCTCCTAATCAAAATTCTAAACTTTTAACATGTCACCTATCAATTTAGCCCTTAATTATGCTAAGCTTAAATTCCATGGTCCATACTAGTTTGATTTTTATTTTTTATTTTAATGTGAAAATTTGGTCTTTTCTTTAAAATAATATGCCCCAAAAATTGAATCATTCTGTGCCTGGTTAATACGTCAAGTAGTTTATGAAGTGATTAAGATCGAAGAGGATCCATGACTTGTAATGGATCACTTGTTCATTTCCTTTAAAAAAAAAAAATTAAATAAATAAACTCGCATCGCAATACCGACTCTATTCGTAATTCCATCAATTACTTGTCTATCAAAAAAAGGGACATTTTGAAAAAAAGCAAAAGGAGAGAGAAAAATTTTAAAAGAAGCAAAAATGGACAAAAATACCCTTATTTATTTTTAGATTTCTTAAGGAATCCAATACATTTGCATGTCTTTGATTTGAAAGTTGAGTGGTTTTTTTGTCTTTTTTGAAAAAGCTTTGGCTTTTTCCAAAAGTGAAATTTTTTTTATGTCTAAATCCTAAAAAACCTTAAAAAAAATGAGTTAGTTCAGCTAATCTTCTTATACCGTTAGTAAAGAATAAAGTGAAATTAGCAAATAAATAATGATTAACGGCCCAAAACATTGAATTATTGTGTGCCCAAGTCAGAAAATCTTCGAAGGCACGTAGAAAGACAGGTCCTCCATCTAGTATACTATGAGTAAAAGGACGGCTCACAACAAGTTTATGTCTATAAAATCCCAGATGCTCATTGAATGTCTTGTGCCCATCCAAGATTAAATATATTTCCATAGAATACGTACCAATTGTGCTTATTTACTTTTTACCATGGCTCTCACAAATCAAGGGCAATACCTCTGCTTGGCTTTTCATTTCATTTTGGCCATTTGCTCCTCTGAAGCATCGTCTCGCCAAATTTATGATGAGAAAACCATGTTGGCTAGACATGAAGATTGTTTGGCTCAATTTGGGCCAGTTTTTTTTTATAAGGATGCAGAGGAGAAAGAGAGGCGATTCGTGATATTCAAGGCCAACTTGGAGTTCATTGAGGCTTTTAACAAACACATGGGCCAGAACTACTTCACTCTAAGCTTAAATGAATTTGCAGACCTAACCAATGAGGAGTTTCGGGAAATTCGTAATGGTTACACGAAACGATCCTCCAAATTGATCATGTCCAATTCCATGAAAGCTACATGTTTTAGATATTGAAATGTCACTGATGCGCCACCTTCAGTGGATTGGAGAGAAAAGGGTGCAGCGACGCCTATGAAGGACCAAAGCAAATGTGGTAAGTATAAACAAGTTGTTCAATGATGACGCATTCACTGTTTCACAACATAACATGTCATTGAATGATGAGGCATGTTATTTCAATTCTATAGGGTGTTGTTGGGTGTTCTCAGCAGTGGCAGCGACAGAAGGGGTTAACCAGCTCAAAACCGGAAACTTAATCTCACCATATTAGAGCAAGAGCTTGTGGATTGTGACACTACAGGTCAAGATCATGGCTGTGAAGGTGGTCTAATGGATGACGCTTTCCAATTCATCCAATGCAACAAAGGCTGACGACTGAAGCTAATTACCCCTACCTGCAGGGTGTAGATGGAATTAGTTGCAACACGCAGAAGGCTGCATCCCAAACAGTGTCCACAAACGGGTACGAGGATGTGCCTAAAAACAACCAAAATGCTATGTTGCAACCAACCAATTTCGGTTGCCATTGACGCAAGTGGCGCTACATTCCAGTTTTATTCAAGTGGTGTGTTCACGGGAACATGTGGTATAAACTTAGATCATGGTGTTAACGCAGTTGATACGGGACTAGTAGTGATGGGACTAAATACTGGCTGGTGAAGAATTCTTGGGGCACAGGGTGGGGGGAGAGTGGATATGTGACGATGCAAAGGCTATGGAAGCTTCTTATCCAACCGCATGATTAATTAAAATACAGATATGTCATAATATAGTGGTGTATAAAATATGTATAATTGAATAATATAGAAAGACGCTAGCTATGAGCTGCTATCCTTCCAGTTCGAAATCCATGCCTCAAAAGATAGAAACAATTAACCCATGACGTGGATTTGCTCTTAAAATCTCACGCAATTAATTAGCAGCTATAGCTATGAGGTTGACATGTTTTCATTACCATTGCAAGGTTAAATCAAGTTAGATTAAGGGAGCATATATATTTTTGTTCACCATCATTCTCAATACTTGATATGTGTCTACAAGTATAACCATGGTTCCATAAATATATAAGGCAAAGAATTAACTATGGTTATGCCAAGGAACACATGCCAAGTGTTAAGATGGGTAGTGAGAGTACACATTAGGTTAAAATGGTGAGCAAAAATATTTCCTTACCGCGATCAAATGATCATGTCACTGATCCTACAAGGTAAAACTGTGAAACGACGTCATTGCACTTGTTCGTGGGTGGCATGGGTTGGAAACACGTAATTAACCATATATATAACATCAATTTACAACTTAATTATACTTATTCTTAAAGCCATTTCTGATCGGACATTTTTGGAGAAATGAATTTCTCAGGCAAGTAAATGGCAGCAGAAGAAGACCGGACAATTTAGGTGCCAGTAGAAGAGAAAAACTCTCTCGCACGTACCTGGTTTATGGAAGCTATAGCTGTAACAGGAGAGCTAGACAAAACTTAATTTGAAAAAGTCTAGGATACGTAACTAGAGGTTACAAGGTGGTGTTGTTGATTGGCAACAACTTCAAATACAAACCGTTGGGCTAGCTTGCTGTGCGCAGTATATAAAGATTATTTAGGCTCATAATTATAACACACACACACACATACATATATATATATATATATATTTATATATATTTTTAAAGAGGGGGAAGTACGATATTATGATGAAGAGATGAGTCTTTTCGCCAATTAAAATGCACCATTTATGTATCCTGCATCTAGATTACCTTTTGCATAATCCTGCAATGAACATCCAAAAATGCATCAATCTAGTTAAAATTCAAAACAAATTTAAAGATTTTCACATCTTAGTTAAAGGAAATTCATTGTTCCTATAACTTGAGCTTCCTATACACACAAATTCCATGAATCAATTGACAATGTGATATTAATATTACCATATAACATTTTCAACATTCTCATCTCGTCCTAGCATTCAAGTAAAGAAAAGAATACATGTATACAGAAATTGTTGATGTCTAAATTTGACTCAACGGATTAAGATCATAAAAACGACACATTCACATCATGACACACACTCAAGTCAGGCTACGTCCATAATATACAATTAGTGAACTGAATTACATGAATCTACAAGTACGGGATATAAAAGCTACAAGCCCTACATGCTACAGTAACTGTCCTCACTACTACAAAAAAGGAAAAACACGACATCTTTTCCATGGTCGTGGAATCCACCGTCGTGTATTCAGTTTTCAAATGGTCGTGGAATCCACCGACATCTTTTCCATAACAAAACCACGACGGTAAATACCCGTCGTTGTTAAAACAAAAAACGTCATCAACAAATAAAAACCGACGTCTTTGTACTGCAAAAAGACATAAAAAAACAGTCGAGGATGAGAATAGACGACCAACTCTAACAAAAAAACGTCGTTAAAAAGGAAACATATGACATATATTAACAGATCATGGCCGCAAAATAAACATACAACGACGAGAACTAAAACTCAACGCCGTTAAATAAACCTTTAACGACAAATAGAAATATGAAGTCTTTAAATACATAATAGACGACGTTATTGACGCCTACTACGTCACAACATTTCCAACAACCGTCGTAAAATAAATTTTCCACTTCGATTTTTCTATAAATGATGACGTGGAAATAGATGTCAGGGTCATTACTTACGACGCATGTATGTACAGAGACGACGTTGAAATAAATAAACAACGTCGGTTCCAAATAAATGAGAGCAGTATTACAGAATTTATACGTCATATTTTGAAATATAATCGTTGTGTAATGACTCTGAAATGGCATCGTTTCTCATTCCGCCGCCGTGTAAAATAATTTTAACAACACGATCTGGAAATAAACGACGTGAAAAAAAATGATGGGGTCATTAATTACGAACATTAATTTATAAAGACAACGTTGTCGACTATATACAACGTCGTTACCATAAAAAAGACCGCCGTGTTTCATAATTTATATGTCATCATTAAAAAAATTAACGTTGTCTAATTCATATATCTTAACGTCGACAAATTTACCAATGGAGTTCAAATACCGTCGTGAATTCATCCTTTTCCACTTCGTTTATGAAAGAACATGCGACGTGGTAAATTTATGACGACGTCGTCTTTTGTAACGCTCAGGTTAGATATCTCGTCTTTTAGACGTCAGTATTATGGGATTGGAGTCGTGTTATTTTGAATTACATGGCGGTTCTTTATGCTTCTCCGACGTGTTATCCTGAATAACTGTTTCACAATAGCGTCGTGGTTCTTCATTGTTACATTGCTTTAAGACGTCGGTAAATATATTGCGGTCGTTGAATGCTCTAAAACGTCGTTTTTTATTAGAACAGACGTTTGTTTTTCACATTTTTATCAAGACCGTCGTGTTTGTAATCTTGAACCAGTATTTTTTGGATCCCTCTAGTGAATTAATGTCATATGTGGCCAAAATTGATGTCATACACTACCAATTACATAAAGCATCATTCAATCCATATATCTTCACACTCATCTTGAATATTTTGACTCCCTAACTCACCCACCACTTCATCAAATGTGTCAACATTTGGCATCCCTCTAGTAAATGGCTCACACTCAATTCCCACATCACCTAAGACATCAT